TCGCCGATTTTCTCTTTCCAATTTTCCTCAGGCTGGTACTAATTCCGCACCACCTCAGCCGGCCATCTCGGTCTCTGGTTTACTATCGGGTCAGACCGGAGTTGTGCTGAAAGCAGATAAGCCAATGGCACCTGCCTCAAGGAGAGTACGCGAAGCCGCTGAAGCCCTATTAGCTGTACTCATGCTGCATGCTGGCACCTTCCCTGGACCATTGGGACCAGAATCCACCTGTTCTAGACTCCATGAGACAGAGCTGGTTAGTCACCTAGAGGCTGCCAGAGGTTTGGTTAATGGAAGCGTGGGCCAAAAATCTGCGTTAGGAGAAGAAGGGAACGATGTTTGGCGACATTTAGCCACCAGTTTCAGATACTATTGGATCGAGCCGGGTCTTATAATATCAATCCTGGAGCTTCCACAAAGACTCTCAGAAGCAACTGTGGATGATAGGTATTTTTTACGTGGTTTTTAATCTATATTATTCTTACATTTATTTACAAGCTGAAAGCCCAATTAAAGACTGATATAAATCCGAAGTATTTATTTATTTCAACGCGCCGAAATCAGACAGCAATTTAGATTTTTTTATTTTTAAATGTAACCACTAATAAATTTAGGTAGCGTTTTTTAGTTGAATCTAATTATTTTACAAATTATTTTTAGAAGTTGTTGACCTTGTTTTCGCAACTTGGTCATATTGGCACCTAGTCCAGTGTCCATTAATGCATGATAATTTCCAAAATCGGAGCGTGGACGTGGTACATATCCAGACGTTTCGCCGGCATCCTAGTCGACATCGTTAATGAGTTTTGCTATTTTTAGCACCATACTACAACCTTTCAAAGAGACAAGTTAAGCCGATCCTTTGAACAAACGTGTGCTAAACAGTTGTGGCATCTCTCTTGCCCTGGGCTGTTCACATTTCTTATATCCTCGTATCACGCCTTTACTGTTACAATTTTTTACCGTGCTTCTTTTGATGTATTGTGGTGTGCCCTTTTGAGCGGCACTCATGAGAACCCTACAAATTACACACTGGCGTTTTCACCCCTCCTTCACCCTTGTGCTGGGAATATTGATCAGTCTGCCATATTGTTACGCAGTCCTCCTTCACTAGGTCTTATCAGAGTCTCTCTCTTGTCTCGTAGGATCCGTCTGCTATCTCTGGTTCAAGTATTTCACTCGACCCTGCAAACCCATCTGTGCTACTCGATGAGATATTACGCCTCCCCTTCAGATGGGTGATTACTTCGAGGCTAAAGCCTCTGAGTAGGTATCATGGTAAAGTCTTTGCTACATGGACCACGTCTTTAGTAAAACCGAATGTCAGCCAACTAGCTCCAGTCTCCACGGCGTCTATCTTGTTTCTATCCGTAATATGCTCTATTCTCTAGTGTGCCAACCCACAAACGTTGTTGTTAATCCTTGAACCTAATCAAAGCAAGTGGTACCTCAACATTTGTGGGTTCGAACACAAGAAACTAGGGCATAGGACATCATTGATTTGGTAGTACGGGAAGAATCAGGATATACGCGACGAAGATTGGAGCTAGTTGGCTGACAGTAGATTTGACCAGAGACGTGGTCCATGTAGCAAAGGCTGACCATGAGACTTACTCAGAGGCTTCAGCCTCGAACTAGTCACCCAAATGAAGGGGATGGGTAATAAAGCATCGAGTAACAGAGATGTGTTGGCAGTGGTCGAGTGAAATAATTGGACCAATTAAATAGGGGGTTAGAACGCCAGCGTGGAGTTTGGAGGGTTCTCGTGAATGCTGCTCAAAAGGGCACTCCACATTACATCTAAATAAGCACGTTAAAAAATTGTAGCAGTGAAGGCATT